GTCAATGGACCTTTATTTTTATTTATTTATATGCAGTGCTGAGAATTGAGCCCAGTGCCTTACACGTGCTAGGCAAGTGCTCTGCCACTGAGCCACAACCCCAGCCCCTCATTTCTTTTTTAATATGTGTATTTTGATGTAGAAAAAGAATATATTAATTTAGGATTCAAATAGTACAAAAGTTTATCATATAAAAATGAAACCCCACTTGACTCCTTTCCCAGACTCACTTCCATTCCCCCCAGGGACGCTAGTACAGGTTTGAGGTACTATGTAGATGTTTCTATGTATCTACATAAATAGTATATGTGTAAGTACCCACATGTGCTTACATGTATCCTCTCACACACAAACAGAGCATCTAGAAAGTCCTTCCATATCAGTATATATCACACTCATTTGAATGACTCTGTGGCGTCTCATAGATAATGTACAATAAATTATTGAACAGTTACATGATTGATGAATGTTTATGGAGTTTCCATTTTTCATTATCAAACACTGCTACCTTGATTTTGCACATATATTTCTGGGTACACATGCTAGTATTTATGTATTAGTCCCATTAATAGATTGACTAAGTCTCAGGATATTTTTCTTTCTTTCTTTCTTTCTTTCTTTCTTTTCTTTCTTTCTTTCTTTCTTTCTTTCTTTCTTTCTTTCTTTCTTTCTTTCTTTTTAACATTTTTGAAAGATACTATTCTGTTATCTTCCTGACCCATAGTTGCTAAGCATGCCAAGCTGCTTACTCACCCTTATCAGCATTTGGGGAGTGGTTGGGAGATTTATATTCTAAAGGATAAACAATAATGTTCTGTTTCATTGATATTTCTATGAGATTGGGCATCTTATGTTTACTGAACATTTTATTTTTGATTTGCTTATTCAAAGTGTTTGGCCAATTTGGGGGGATTGTCTTTTTTATGTGAATTAGTAAAATCTCCTTAGATATTATAGATATTGGCCCTTGGTTATATATGCCATGATATTTTTCTCCAATCTGTTGTTAACCTTGAGAATTTTTAAATGATTTTTGTTTTAATTTTTGCATATTCATATCTTTCCTGTTACTTTTTACTTCATTGATTGTCTTGTGGAAGGAAACAAAGATTATAAAACCACTTGTTTCAACTTATTATAGGCTTTTATATGTTTTGATTCAAGAGAGTAAACCAGCTTTACTGTTTTCTGAGTCAATAATGTGTTGTTTCCATGCCATTAATCTCCCCCTGGATGTGAAATCCTTTTTTATAATGCACACATTGGTCAATTTCTGAGTTTCTTATTATGTTCTGATGAGCTATTTGTCCGTTTCTACTGTGTCACTCTGTTTAATGAGTATAGATTTGTAGTGTTTTTATAGCTGATGGGTTATTTTTTTCACCTTCACAATCCTATTGGCTGCTCAGCGCAGTGGCACACATCTGTAATTCCAGTAGCTCAGGAAGCCGAGGCAGGAGGATTATGAGTTCAAAGCCAGCCTCAGCATCTTAGCGAGGCCCTAAGCAACTTAGCAAAACCCTGACTCAAAATAAAAATAAAACCATCTGGGGATGTGGCTCAGTAGTTAAGTGCCCCTGGGTCAATCCCCAGTACCTAAATAAAAAAATAAATAATTTTTTTGGCTATTTCTCTATATTTACTCACTTAGGGAAATTTAGAATATGTCTGTTGTTAATAAAATAGACTGTTGGCATCCTTAGTGTTTAAGCTAATATTAATAGATGTAAGTAGATAGGCTTTGGGGGGATAACAGCTGATGTCAAAGGTAAACTTTAAAAGATTTCCAGAAAAAATATTGATTAACACTCTTTAAAATGTCTTTCCAGATAAGGAAAAATTAAATATTCATATCACTAAAATAAATATGCCTTGCTTAAGTAGCCTTCAAAACTTGGCAATAGAGCGAATGTCTACTGCTATTTTTCCATTAATTTATATGACATCATTAGAACTGCATTTCCAGCCGGGAAATATTTCTGGCTTTAAAGACAAAAATCGTGCTTATTGTTTTCAAGTTGTTTTCAGTATTTCTTTTAAGAGAAAAACATTGAGGGAAATGCTGCTGTTTCTAACCAAAATAATACAAAAATATGGTAATCTTTTGCATTTAGAAAATTGCTCATGTAAAAAACAGTGCTTCTCTTAGCACCAGCCACTCTTGGGGGTATAAACACACTATGAATCATTACCTAGCCTTTAAATGCAACCTAGATACCCAGCAGCTCTTCTTTCTTCTAATTAGTGCCAGAATTTATCTCTTCATACCAAGTAAGCCTTCCCTTCAAAACCTAAATCTCTGTGCTCCCTGCAGATTTGAGGTGGTTAATAAATGGGTTGAGACAGCTCTGCTGCTTCTGCTCACGCACCTCGCATCCAGTGACAGCTCCCACATAGCAATGTACCAGGGAGCACTGGATGGATCCATTCCCATATATAGCTTTCTTTGTTTCTGTATCTTTGGAAAGATACACAAAAAGCTGATAGCATTACTTCCCTCCTGGGAGGAGACCTGGTGATTGGGGGCAGGCATGGAAAGGAGACTTCCCACTACTTACCCTTTGGAACCTTTCAGTTTTTGAAATGTAAGAATGTTTTGCCTCGTCAAAAACTCTTAAAAGAAAAACTAAAGGTTCATTCCCCAAGTCCTCATTTCTGTAGGTGAGGATCTCATCATAGTGGCTTGTCTTGACTACTGGGCTGGCACTAATATTAATTGTGACTGTCCCGCTGAGGTCAGTGTATGGAGAAGACACCTCTGAGACTCTAAGCTCAGAAAACATGCTGCGGCATGTTTAATCTGTCTTGATAAGGAATTGTGGTGATCTTTGACAAAATTCCCCCAGCAGGAATATTTTCCAGAGAGCTCCCTGGAATTGAAATGTGTGGAAGGTCTTGCAGCAAGAATAGGCTCAGGTAATCCCCACAGAATTTGTCCTGAGGACTGATAGGTACCAAGCTAGAACCTCAGGTTGCTGCTTCTCTGGTCACATCCGGGACATTCTAACCCCCAGCTGGCCTTTCAGCCTTCTGCTCAAAACCCCAAAGTGCACTTGAACAGTGGGCTATTTATTAGATAGGGTCATTGCATTTTTTAAAGAGACCACCATCATTGCATTTTTTAAAGGCCACTATTGCCCTTTCCATAGTAAATGGACTTTCTACAATATAAAATAATTCCATAAATTATAAAGACAAACTGCATGAGAGTTCAAATTTTAACTTAAAAAAAAAAGAATTTTTAAATGATTATAGCTGAGTAGTAAGATGATGAGGAATTTTTATCTTCTTCTGCATAGCCTGTTTTCCAAATTTTTATGAATTAGTAGGTTTCAGATTGAAACTCAAGAAAGTATCACTTTAAAAAATACTTTAATTTTGTAAATAATATTTTAGAGTATGTAAAGTATTTTGAAATATTTACACACATGATTATCTTATCAATTATTTGCTTATTATATTAAGGGAATTATCACAGAGTTGGAATCATTGAGTTGAAGCTCTTCGAGTTACAGTAGGTCTCCAGAGGTCATTGCATCACATCAAGTGGGAAAGTCAAGATATTGACTAAATGCCTATTTAACAGCAGTATATTTAAAATTTTAGATGCACAGAAAAATATTAGAAAATGACATCCAAAATTCTTCATGGTTTATTATAGAATTGTGGGGATTTTGACTTTTCTCTATTTTTCAAATATTTCTAATGTATGACAGTTGGACCCATATAAATAAATGTGCAGTTTAAGGCAATTATCTCATTTTCTTTTTTCTGTAGGTATTTCCATCCTATATGCATTTACAGATAAAGTAAACCACTCTTTCAGCTGCTGGATAAGCATAGTTTATGGAATTGTGACAGTGCAGCAACTGTACTTAGGACTGCAATTAAAATTTGTTGAGGGGTCCTCCACAGAGGAATGAGAGGGCTGTCTTAGGACTAAAGAAGGGTCTGACCACTATGTGGTGTGACCTCTCAGATGGAACAGGAGCTGTGGTTTAGGAGGGCCTCTCCATTTGGTTTCTATATGTGTACATGGCATAACAGGGAAAGTATTGAAAACAGAAGGAGGGAGTGCTGGGTAGGTATTCCTGTGGGGGAGCCCTTGATTGGCATGAGTGAGGTCCTGGGTTCCTGCCATTCCAGCATGGCAAAAATAAATAAATAGATAGATAGATAAATAAGTGATTGATGATTATTCAGGATTTAGCATATATCAAATAGGGAAGTATGGTGAAGTAATATTTTTACATTTGGGAGTGATTCTGTTTTTATAGTGCCCAAATGAATTTACAGGAAGATGAGTAAATTTTTTAAAATTAAGTTTTAGAGGAACCATCTTTAGGGAAATCATTATCCTTATCTGAATTCCATGATTTAAAAATAGCTTTTCCATCACGACAGTGGAAAATAAGAAAAATTGTATAGCAGTATTAAAAGGAAGAAGAAAATATAGATAAGTTCAAAATTGAGTCTCAGAAAAGTTCTGAAAAGAGAGTGGACAAAAAGCTTACGTGTCCTTAGGGCACAGTAAATCTATTTATTGCTCCACCAACTTGAAGCCTAAAGCCAAAACTGTCATTCTGTCAGACAGGCAAACTTCTCAGGAGGTAAAGCTGAACTTATATTTTTAAATGAATGCAAACTGCTGAGTTGGAACACACTTAAGGGATAGTTTGCATTTGCATTACCTCTAACCATGAATTTTAGAGCTTAATTTGAAGATAAGGTGCTTAATTTAACAGGATATGATTATGCTTTTTCTGATCATACAGAGCAGAAAAGACATGAGTTGTTTGTTTTACCAAATCTGGACAATCTATGTAAGAGGCTGCAGCTCGGCCCCTGGGTTTTGTCAGCATCTTATTGCATTCACAGTGTTGGTTGCTCACCTCCTTCTCTGAGCCAGCCCTTGAGACTGCTGGTGTCATCTTTCCACGCAACCCAGGCTGTGGAGCTCATTATCTACTGCAGTTCCTGGGCAAATGGTGTCTGCAGGAAAAGAAAAAAAAGAAGTGTGATAATGTCCTTGCTAGGTTTGGAAATCTAAAAGCAGGATACTTTTCAGGAAAATGCTGGGCTTTAGAAGATTATCTCTTCTCAGTCCACTGACTACTTGCTTGATTGCCCAACCTAATTCTTTGTTTACTTCTTCATCCCAAAGACGTCACCGATGGGATGAGAAGAGAAAACAGTTTATGTCCTTTGTCCCACTTATCCTTTGAATCTAGGACCAAAGAACATCTGAAGATGGGGACATTGTAGAATACTTGGTGTGCAAAGGCAAGCAAAATTGGAGAGTGCTGAATAATTGCTAAATTAGATGAGCTTTTATTTAATTCCTAAAGATGAACATTAGAAAGAGAGGCTGATGACTCCCAGGATGAGGATCCTAGAGGTACAATTTATCTTGTGTGCCAGGGCTCCCAGGGCTCCCAGGGCTCCTGCTCTTCATGTGACGTAGACAATGCCAGTATGTCTTCCTCAGAGGGAGGGGAGGGGATACTGCTGGTTTCAACCCCAGGATCAGGCTGAATTTGCTTCTCTAGTTACTATAAAAAGTTGGAGAATAGCCCATTTCCATTGATTCCCCTTTGTGGAGAAAGGTGGATGTTTTTGAGATAATTGTATCAAAGTGTAGGGTGGAAATGGGGAAAAGGGATTTTTCTCTGACAAAATTGATCAAAACTTGGTAGATGTAGAAATCCAATTAGTTGCCTTTTTATTCTACTCTACCCAGAGAGCACTAGAAACACTCCCTCTTTTGAATGAAAATGCAGATTGGAGTCCATTTTAATCTGTACTTTCATATAGTCTGGATGCGGTGGCACATGCCTATAATTCCAGTAACTCAGGAGGCTGAGGCAGGAGGATTTCAAATTCAAAACCAGCCTCAGCAATTTAGCAAGGCCCTAAAGCAACTTAGAGAGACCCTGTCTCTAAGTAAAATACCAAAAAGGGCTAGGGATGCGACTCAGTGGTTTAGCACTCGTAGCTTCACTCCCTGGTATCCGCCCCCCCTCCAAAAAAAAAATAAAGAATAATGCCTGGAGCCTAGCACCTCCATCTATAAACTCTCTTCCCTTGGCAAATGACTTGACATCTTTGGGCTTCAGTTCCTATACCTGTATAAAGAGGGAACAGGAGTCCCTACCTTATAGGGTTATTCTAAGGATTAAATGAGGTGTTGTACATATGCATGACACTTGGATTTGTGCCCAGCATTAGCAAATGTTAGCTATTGTTATAAGTTTTTGCCTCTCTTTCATATTTTATATAAAAAGTTTGATTTAAGAAGTTTTCACTTGCTCTTTTAAAAATTTTTTTTAATGAAATTTCTGTATTTTTCTTTAGCTTGTGATTGACTCTTCCAGAAAGCACTTTGGAATGTTCTGTCAGATGGGTTATCATGATTACTATGCATTTGCTTATAATTAAGTTTGGGGAATCTTACAATTGACTCTGCAGTTATATAAGAGTATTTATAGATTGAGTGATCCAGGGGGCTGGGGTGTAGCTTAAGTGGTAGAGCACTTGCCTAGCAATTGCAAAACTTTGGGTTCCATCCCCAGCAACACATGCACACAAAAGGAAGAATTATCAAATGGCTTTCTAAATGCCCCCATGATGTGTTCAGCTGTTTGTGCTTTGAACAAATGCTTAGTGAGCACACAGAGTGAGCTAGATTGTGTTTGGAGCCTGGGAATTTAGAATACATCATTTGAGGTCCTTGTCCTCAGGTGGTTTGGTTACATTCTGGTGAGAGAGACAAATCATTAGCAAGTAAACAGACATTTCAGTTTGAAGTACCGTGAAGAGAATATAACAGGACACCATGAGAAGGAAAAGGGGAGAGAGAGCGTGGGTTGTCCCAAAAAGGAGTCAGTTGAAAAAAATAAGACTTGTTCTGTGATTTAAGCAACAGGAGGAACCTAACTATTCACAGCTAGGGGAAGAGAAAAGCATGCCACCCCCAGGGGAAGTGAGCTAATGTAGAGGAAAAGCTGGTGCCTATTGCCCACCTCCTGAGAGGGGAGAACTATACATGGCCAGGCAGCAAAGGCAGCCCAGGTGACCACACTAGTAATGTCTATTTATGAGGTCACACATATGCCCAAGAGCATGGCATTTAGAAGAGTTAAAAATTGAACTCCAAGGGGGCACAGTCCTGCTTCAGCCATAACTTATTTACCAGTTTGGGAAAGCTTGGTGTATCTTGTTTTTATTTTGACTTTTGGGAAGTTAAACATACTGAATAGTGTAAGACGACCCATGCATCCACAAGGCAGCTTCTCCAATTATCAACCACAACCAGTCTTGTTTGTATCTCTTCTTATGTCTTAATTTTTTCATTTCTTAGTGCTTTGATTCAACATAATAGCGTGTATTATGATACACCACAGCCAGGCTCCGTGGCACATGCCTGTAATCCTAGAGGCTCAGGAGGCTGAGGCATGAGGATCGTGAGTTCAAAGCCAGCCTCAGCAAAAGTGCAGCACTAAGCAACTCAATGAGACCCTGTCTCTAAATCAAATACAAAATAGGGCTGGGGATGTGGCTCAGTGGTTGAGTGTCACTGAGTTCAATCCTGTGTATCCCCCCACACAAAAAAATAAAAAAAGATATACCAAGTGCCAGATGGTGTATGTAAAAGCAAATAAAAACAGTCCTCTGCTCATTTCCCATGGCCGGTTAGCACAGGCGCTCCTGCACAAGGACCTCGTCATGATAAATAATTGGCACAAACCAAAGGTCATAGGAGCACAGAAGAGAGAGTGATTCGTGCCTCCCTGAGAGGTGGAGGAAAGGGAAATTGGGAACCTCAGAGAGTGAGATCATACAAAGCGGAGATGGGAAGAAAGATGAGGGTGGAGGAAAGAATATGAGCACAAGAGCATTTGGGGGCAAAAGATTAGAACTGAGCACATTGGGGAATAGTAATAAAGAGAGATCTAGCTAGAAACATGGGTTGGGCCACATTCTAAAAGGCCAAGAAATTTAAATTTTATTTTGTAGAGAAGGAGGAATAATGTAATTCTTATGACAAATAAATAAATAAATAAACTAGAATAGTGAGATCAATATCTCATAATGATAATGCTAGTGACAGTGACAGGGTTTGATGGGGAGTGTCTGGATAGGAAAACCAGTGAAAAGACTCGTTCAACAGGGTATATGAGCATGAGATTATAATAAGTGGGACATTGCCAAGTAGAGTTGCATAAATGTGAATCCCAGAACTAGTCTGAAGGGCTGGATAGATAAGACTTTATGGAGAAGATGGCTTTTGACCTTGATCTTGACAATGAAAACAGACTGGACATGAAGGGAAGGAATTGCGGTAATAGGAACAGCATGTTCTAGAAAGTACAGGTCTACAAAAATGCAGGAATGTTCAGAAATTTACATGGAGGGAAATGAAGCTGCTGGCTGACCAGCAAACTGACCACTAAAGTGGTGCCAGCCAAAGATGGCCAGGGCTTTCATAATTCATAGACGGGCTTAGTGACTGATGGGCAGGGCTGGGTGAAGGAGAGGAATGAATTGCAAAGCTGAGGTTTCTAGGCTAAAAATACTTTTAAAAAGTAGAACATTAAACAAGATAGAAAGTGCAAAAGCAGGTTAACAGGAAAAACTTTGTGTAACTGCAGACATGCTCAATATGTTGTTACTCTGGACCGTCTGGGTAGGAATGCCCAGTAGGCATTTGGAAATTCAGGTATGGAAAATGAATTTGGAGTCACCTACAGGAGCTGATGAGAGGCAGAATCTAATGAAATAGTGACTGAAGTCTTCCTTTGTAACTACAGACCAGGTGTAACCAAATCGTTTTGTGACACATCTCATTCTGCTTCCTGTGGGTTAGAATGTCCCCATCAAGGATGGTGATGTTTTATGCCTTGATTGCTTTGTGACCTGAATGATATAACTACCATCTTTTACACAGGGATTGTCTCTGTTTTCCAACATTGTGACAGTATTCAGTTGCGGGACACCTAGAGCTACCTGCTTTTCATTGTGAACATTGCTGCCCTCAGTTCCACGCAGGTAGAGTGCCCCTGGGCCACCACGGATTCACAGTGACCTTTCTTCCTCCAGGTTTCATCGTCCATAAGGAAGTGCAGAACTATTTGGAAACAGCAATGGATCGTCTTTTGGGGAAGCCCTTCTTCCTGAAAACCTGATATTGCACTGAGATTTGAGTGTGTGTGTTTCCGTTGAACCTGTGGTGAAGGAGACCTGTGACTCAGCTTTGATCAAAAGTGCTCCTCACCTGTACAGCCAAGATGGGCCAACAAGCAAGCAGAGGACACAGTGAGCCTTGCTGCCCAGAATGTGTATTGATGGTAAGGCGCACTGTGGTTACATCCACTGTTCTTCATCAGGAGTTGAAATCATAGAAGATGAGCAGAAGACAATCGCTGACTCCCTACCAGAAAGCCAAATGTTGTCACGCATGCGGGTTAAAGAAAAATGGAGATTGGAATTACTGGGCACCAGAAAGGGGTGGGAGTTGAAAATCAGAAAAAAAAAAAAAAGAGAGAGAGAGAAAAAAATACTTCATTATGTTAATGAAGAAGAGAGAAAATTGAAGCATATTTGTATTTTCGAAATAGGCATTTGGTAGCTGAGAACTTACTAAGGGATTTGGGAATCTAATCGACCAATGTGGATTCCTTAAAGACTTGATTCTAGAATACTCTTGTTTCACCATTAAGTTGGTACACTGTAGTACCATTATTTTATGTTGTGCCAGTGAATCCAGTTGCCAGAAATATCTGAATGTTTTCATTCATCTTTTTCTTAAATACAAGAGGTTTCTATTAACTCTGACCAAGCATGCTTACTCAAATTTTGTTGCATGCTTTAAGTAGCATGGCTATACACATTTCACTATTTTTTTTTAAATACTTCTTTCCTAGTGTATCAGTGTATCAGCCCTCCACAAGGATAACAGGACTGGACATAAAGTCAGATGTAATGCAGCTGTGTATATCTGTTGCAAGCTTTAGAAATAATTCTTTTTCCTATCTTCATTATCTCTAGAGTCAAGCAACCATACTTGTTCTAAAGAAGATACTATTGACAATCATGACACCCTTTTAAAAACCTGAATCCAAAGTTAAAATGTAAGCGAGGTGCAAGTGTATGTTGCCTGCTGTTAGCAGGAGGCAAAGGACCAGTTATGGAGGATCATGAATTCAAAGCCAGCCTCAGCAACAGTAAGGCGCTAAGCAACTCAGTGAGACCTTGTTTCTAATTAAAATATAAAACAGGGCTGGGGATGTGGCTCAGTGGTCGAGTGCCCCTGAGTTCAATCCCCAGTACTGAAAGAAAGAAAGAAAGAAAATGATGGGTTGCTGCTATTTAAAAATAAATAAAATAAAGCACATGAAAAAAATACCCCAATGCTTAAAGAAAACAGAAAATTTTTGCTAAATTGTGTGTGAGGAAAACCTCATCGTGTATATCAAGAGTCTACAGACTGCATCCATAAAAACAGTATTTATTTTAATGCTAGAAGACCAGTGAGGTAAAAGTCATAGATTTCCCTATGATCCTGCAGTCAGTGTTGTTTACATTTAAAAATAAAACAAAAAATACCCTCTATAATGAAATTGATCTTTTTCATGGAGTCAACCCCAAGCCCAGAATGATTTCTAGTCTCAAATGCATTGATCTTATGTCAATACCTCCTTGCATTGAATTGTTCTTTCACAGTTGTTTTGTATCCCTTCTGTTAAAATCACATGAAATCTATAAAAAGAAGGCAAGACCTAACTAGAAGATATATTATTCTTTAGAACATGGATAAGAAGAATTTTCTGAATTGTTTCTGGTTCAAAATGTGGAAGAGTGTAATTTTCAATTTCAACTCCAAAGTAAGCATTTCATGTGCTGGACAAATTTTGATTCTACCATTCCTTGGCATTTTAAAGAAACACTTGAAATTGGGTAATTTTATTTTAAAATTTTAAAATATTGACCCCAGTTGGCATACTATAAAAAGCCAGGACCATTTTATAAATAAGAAGAGTAACCAGCATTAATGTACCTCTTGCTGAAGTCAGCTATGTGCAGTAACAAAATAAGTCTGCTTTCCATAGCACTGTCATTTCACTAATAGAATAAGACATACCTTGCTTTGAAAAAAATATTTCTGCATTTCCAAATCTGTGGCTCTATATCTGGCTATGGTATTATCTGCTCTGTTGTTCTACAGTGCTGGGGATCAAACCCAGGGCCTTGCACATGTTAAGCAAGTGATCTACCACTGAGCTACATCCTAAGCCTTTGTCTGTTTATAAGGTTTCAATCCAGCCATGACAGTTAATTTTGTTCTCATTTTTTTCTAAGTTATCTTTTTCTTTATTTTATCTTATTAGCATTTTAGTGACTTGGAAAAAAAATACCAGAGAATATAATGTTCCTTTTCTTTTTCTATGCTTATAATCTTTGAGTATTTTTTTAAATTTCTAATTACAAGGTCTTATATAATGTTAAATATAAAGACATCACTGATTTAGCACTCAAGATACACATCAGAGAAAGTTCCTGTTGAGTTTATGGAAGGAACTTTTCTTTTTAACCATTAGTGTTACATAAAATGTAATTCTTTTATTTTAAAATGAGATTCATCCTGGACCAAAGTGAAAAACTGGGCAGTAAGTAATTCAATAATTTTCCTTGTGTAATTAAATCAGATTTATGAAATACCCACACTTTTTTTTCATACTAACTAATACATTCGGAGAAAATTTTATCAGAGAGAAATTTGAAAGTAAATAATAAAATTAACCACTGCTAGTCTAATATTTAAGTGACTAGAACCACCAATTATTTCATTAGCAGGATCTGCTAAATAAAAAGCTATGGAAGAAATTAAAGGATTATGTGCTGAGCTGTATTTCCCAGAATGAAGCTCTATTTTCTTGGTTAATTTTTAAAGGCACAACTGCATATCTCCCACCAGCAGCCCATGCAAGGGTCTCTTGCCCAGCAGGCCTACAAGAATGCAAAGGCCTGGGTCATCCTCCCTGTAATTATGCCCCTGCCCACTACCAGCATTTCTGCAGTCTAACCACTATGTTTCTATTCTATAAAGAAAATAAATGTGTGTGGGAATTGGTTTTCTTTATTGGTGCTGGGGAATCAAACCCAGGCCTTGTGCATGCTAAGCACCTTCTACTACTGAGCTACATCCCCAACCCCTGTAATTTCTTTCTTTGTTGCTGCTATAACACAGTTCCAGGTTTTCACTGAAGTGTGACATTAGGCTAACAAAGAACAAGTGAGTGACTTTTCTTGGATTCTTGATATATGATTAAAGAAGAAAACAAACCCACCTCTAGGAAGGAAAGAATTAGAATGTGAAAACCAAAGTGACCATTCCATCTTTTTTTTTTTTTTTTAAATAGGGGGAAAATAATATTAAGGTGGTAAGAAAATGCTAAATGAACTTAATCAACTTCCTCATGGTCATTACCAATCAACCTGGAAAAAATGGTTCTCTAGTGATGAACATGCATTTAAGGCAGCTTACTTGATTATTTCCTGTGTAAGAGAAGGGTTTTGCATATTTTTTACATTAGCTGTAATCTATCTTTATGCTAATTCCTTGAATTATTTAACTGAAATCTACAGTAGTTAGAGTACCTATCTTGGGCATTTTAAAAGCTGTTTAATTAGAGAAAAAAACCAACACATCTATTTCTCTGACTTACCCAGAAAAACTGATTTTCTGGTTGCATCTTTGTATCCCTTATTAGCAAAATGAGTGTAGTTACTTATCTTTTTCTAATGTCATTAAACATTCTGTTAGTAGAAAGTTTTAAACTTCTTTTTTTTTTTTTTTCTTTTCTAGTGCTGGGCATCAAACCCAGCTAGGCAAGTGTTCTACCACTAAGCTGGGTCCCTAGCCTGGAGTTCAGAAATTTAAGTAAAAAAATCAGCTTAAGAAAATAGAAGGATTGAATATACTCTTCAGAAATCACCAAATATTGAAATGACTCATGAGTCCTTAAAACCATAAGTCAGGTTGTACATCCTGCAGTTATTTCAGTGCTGTACTAGCACATTAAAAGGAGAAAAAAAAATCTGGGCACGTAGTGCACACCTGTAAACTCAGGTATTCAGGAGGCTGGGGCAGAAGGATCCTAAGTTTAAGGCCAGCCTTGAACATTTGGTGAGATCCTATCTCAAGATAAAAAATGAAAAGGATAGGGATATAGCTCAGTGTAAGAGTGCTTGCATATTATGCATAAGGCCTGGGTTCAGTCCCCAATACCAAACAACAATGACAACCCAAAAACACTACTTTACACTTGAAAGAGGAAAAAAAAAATGGCATTAACACTGCATATCCTGATACATACCACACAAACATATAACATATATTTTACTTATACTTCAGAGAGTCAAACACAACTTGTAAAACTTAATTCACAAAAGGAAAAGGCATACCACATAGTAGTATGTCATTTAAGCAGTGAAAACTTTCTTTCCTTTCTCTCTCACTCAAAAATGTTTATGATCCTAGCAGCATATTTCATACAAAGTAAGAAACTTCCCTTATAGTAGGTAAGGTATATTTAAACAAATACAAGATGTATTGACTATGTCATTCTCATCAGTGTGGCATAACTATTCAAGCATTCCTGAATCCCAGTATATGAAGCCTGTCCTTACTCATGAAAGTATATTGAGATCATTATTTCTTCACAGCATTAGAATATGTTGTGAGCATTAAGGAACCACTTAGACACAATTTGTTTGCAATATTGCCCCTTAGCCCTTGAAATGGTTCATCTTTCACTAGCAAGTCTTTGATCTGTACTGTCTGGTGAGAGATACTATATTGTTTTACTTGACAAAGCAGAACAAACTTCTGGAATTCAAATATGTGCTAGAGGAAAAAAGATAACAATAAAGTAATCATGTTAATAGGAGCATCTTCCTGAGAAAAAGCACATCCCTAGATAATTCAAACTCAAATTCCAAAGAGGAACTTTAGGCTTTACTAGAAAGGCAGGCAGTGGCCAAAGGGTACTAGGGACCAAGAAAGGAACCCCCAAACCATTCTCATTTTCACCTTCTTTTACTTTTTGTAGTCATTAAGCTTAAGATCTGTTTGAAAATGTGAACCATCATTAGCATTTCGAGAAAGCAGCTGAAAATAAGCCACATCTGTGGGCACTGTTTTGAAATCAGAATCCTCCCAAATTAAGAAATCCCATTGCATACATTGTAAGATTTCTGGCAAAGAAATGAAGATTTCTGTGGCAGCTATTCCCTCCTAAAGATGACCCTAGAAGAAGGGCCATGTTTAGCGACGCTAGGATTTCCTGCACACACACACATACACACACACAAAATGTCATTTAGTTTGTGGCATTGCTCGCACAGCTGCACATAGGAGACACCTTTGTCAACCGATGTTTCTCCGTGGGGATGTTGTAGTCATTTAGATTTGGGCAATTCTCTGTTACACAGAAATGTCCCACACCTTGCAAGGTGTTTTAACATCCCAGTCCCCTGCTGACAAAATGCCAGTAGTGTTCCCAGTCAGTGTAAAACCCA